CTCTGACACACAGATCTGGTTAACAGTAACTGCTCTACATTTCTTTCCTTCCATAATTAGTGTATTTTGTTATTGTCTGATGGATATTTTCTGATAATAAAGGGCAGTGTAAGGTACAATGCTACTCCTCTGGGCCCAATATACCAACGGAATACGGTTGTCACTGCAGGAGCCTGTCAAAGGCAGAGCACTCCTCTGTGCTGGACCTCTCCAAGCAGTGGTGCAGCTGGCTCTGGCATATGGTTCTATGAGCAAAGGCTTCCCAGGACCTGCTGCTTTCACCACTGCAGAGATTAATTACCGCAGACTGGTGTCAATTCCAGGCAAACCGGGCCTGAGGGAAAATCCCACACTATTACACGATGACAGCAGGCACAAGGTGTCTTGACACTAAGTGCAATGCTAACTTTCTTCCCCGCCCCAAAACACTCGACAGTAAACCAGAAATGCCATAATTCTTACCGTTCCTCACAAAACTCTCCCATGATCATTTCTTCAATCAATAATAATAATAATCCTTGCATTTCATACAGCACCTTATCCACCAATTGAGACCTCTCAAAACGCTTCACGAGAATGTACTGTAAAGTGGTGATTGCAGGTATTTTCTGGGCAATGTTTAAGATAAATGTGGGGGGATAAGTTTTCTAAAACAATAAAATAAAAATACCAATCATTAGTGAATCTTGTACAATCAAATTCTGCACAGAGTAAGTTATACAAAAGTCATGCACACTTTGTGAAAGTACAAAATGAATCAATGCATTGATTAGGTACAGTATTTTACTGCTATTCAGATTAAAAATACAATCATGTTTTCTGTGTAATATTCTTCCTTACATTTTCTACCTTAGAGTCGTCATGAATGCAAATAGAAATCCTTGTCAGAGCTCAACATTTTAAGATATCTGCTTAAAAAGCTTTAATGAGCCAAAGGAATATAAATGGAATAATGGATTGTATAGGGATTAAGGAGACCCTGTGGGCTACAATACTTTCAAACTGGATATATGGATATATGGATATATCACAGGTGCAAAAAAAAATATATGGATATATCACAGGTGCAAAAAAAAATGTGCAGCAAAAGCAAAATTGGGTTCTGTGCATATTTGTAATTTGTCTCTTTATCAAGCATTAATTTGCATCCTTTTCCAATTCTGCTACATGCTGACAGTATTGTTAAGATTGAAGCTAGAGTGATGCATTTCTCCAGGGAGAGAGAGCACATTCCATTCCTACAATCTCTCTCTGGGATTTCCATGTGTAGGTGGGCCGCATGGAATTCTCAGCTTGGTTTGGAGACTCTTAAGCAACGGTGATGGGTTTCCGCCTGTGTCAGACACCCACCCGGCTGATCCCACAAAAAAGAATGAATCTACTCCAAATCCAGGATGGTGTTTGTGATGAACAGCAACAGGTATCGATCTGACTGTGGAGGTTACAGAAAACAACCAGGTTCTCATCACAATGGCAGAATTTCCAGAAAAAAAATCTACATCTTCTGACGTAAGGATTGTTAAAAAGGCCATTTCTGAAAACATAGGGGGATAAAGTATCATTACCTTGTAGAGAAACACAACTTATTTTTGGACTTCATCTGGTAGGACAGTGTTCCTGATTTGTGCTGTGATAAGCAAAGCTATTTAACACGCCAACATATATTAAATTACCATCACTTTATTTGAATACTTGCATTGAATCCTTGGATTTGTATCCTTGCAGTGCCTTATCACAGAATATATAAGTAGATTGACTGTCTTTTTTGTAAGCGAAACAAGGCAGCCAATTGCGTACAGCAGTGTCCCACAAACAATCGGGAATAAAATAAATTTTATTATTTATTCTTTTGGGGGAGGGTTAACAGCGGGTTCCTACTTACTGCTGGATAAACAGGGGCGTGTGGAGTAAAGAAATTTGCCTAAGGTTTCGCCCCACCAGGAACTCAAACCCGGATCCTCTCACTTGCGATGTGAGGGCGCTAGCCACGATGCTATGGGACTCAAATTTATAATAAATTGGTTGCAATTATTTAAGTTAACTGCTCTAACATCCCCAAAATGACCTCTGCAAATCGGAGTAGCTGAAACTGCCTGGTCAGTCAAGTCTTAAAATGGCAACTGTACATCCGCATGCAAACCATGTTTCACTGACTCAAATTCCAGCATTTTAATCAAAGAATACCTAAATTCTAAACCTGCATTTTAGCACTAAAATAAAAGAGTACCTACAACAAAGAGCCATCAAAATACCTGGGCTGTACAGGTCATAAATGAATGTTTCCGAAGTTTGTGATGCAGAAGATTAGAAAAAAATGTATTAACGAGCTTAAGCACGCTGCCTTTTTTCACATAATACGAAAAGGTCATTAATCCGTAAAGAATGCAACATCCCCTACAAAAGTCGTCACATTAATCCAAAAAGGGTGGTTAATCTTTACAGCCTTGCGGTGAAGGGAACCAACAACTTCTTTGGATCTTCAGAGTTTGGGTAAAAAAAAATGCATTTAAAATAAAAGGCAATCATATCAATTAAATGTAAAAATCAATTATAATGACAATTCTCTGACATGCTTGCTAATAATATCTAGTAACGTCTAGAATATCAAATTAATAATTTTCACTTCATATAATCTGGTGCTGTTCATTAAATAAATTATAACAATCTTATAGAACACCATCTTGTAGAATTTTTTTAGCTCATTGGCTTGCCTGACAATGATTAAAATTCCAGCCTTTTCTCTAAAGACGATTCTTACATATCTACATCTGTTGATATAATGAAGGCATTATATCATTCAGTAGGGATGTGGGCTGGCCCTTCATTAACTGAATAGAACGTGAACACAAAGTATCCAGAAGAAATATATTACCCCAAAAATTTTAAGGCACTTCAAAAGTTTTTGGAACATGGGCCAGATCCAAGTTAACATGGCAATACTGTATATTCTATACTAAAGAAAATGATGGGCTCTTACCAGTCGAAAAACAGAATACTCTTATTTTGCATTCACCAAAATAGACTGGACAATCTAATGCCAGTGGTTTCTTGCAATTATTGGAACAATGTAGGAACTCATTTGTATTGCGTTACTATTGAGAATGGGTCATGTGAGAATCGATCTTACCAATGGGTAAAGCTTAAAAACTTGCAGATGGCAGAATGTTAAATGTTAATTAACACAAACTGTCCCGATAATTGACTTAATTGAGTTTTTCAAGTTTCTGAAGATGAAGCACTCATTTAAATCTGCGACGGAAAATGTGAATTGGTAAGAATGCCTCTAAAAGCATAATTTTCTGCTAAAATGGTGGAAAAATGACTGAAAGTGAACAGTTTACCCTATATAATTACACAGCACACCATATTTTTCCACAATCAAGTGCTGATCAGTTGTATCACAGCCATTAATCCTCAAGTTACACATTAACATGATAAACACTGAAAAGTTGCTGTTGCTGCCTGCTGCTACTGACAAAAGATCGACTAAAACCAGAGAACAGCAGGTAAAATTAAAACAGTGTGAATAATCAGCAACCAACACAAAAGAACGATTTTCAAAGCGGTTACATAATCTCAGATAGTGGCTATAGACTATTTGACTTTCGTTCTCAGTAGATGATGTCATTTGAACTCCCTCAATTAGATTACTGCCTTGTAGATCACACTACATAAATACATCTACAAAATCATCCCCGTGCACATTCTCTAAACTATTTACCATGCAATAAATCCACTTAATACCCTTTTGTCTGTATCAAAGGCATTAATACTCTTTGGAGACCGTCAACACACATCAATGACATTGTGCTGGCAGATGCAGAAAGCCAAAAAAATACCAGCGGAAAAACTAATTTGAAAATACCACAAACGGCATTTATTTAAAAATGCATCTTACTCGGCACAAAGTTCAAGTCTGCAATAACATTTCTTGCTTCAGGTGATTGTTAGAAACTGCTCGAGCTTCACTCTCGTTCTTTATGATGACATTTGAACCTTTTGATAGCTGAGAAACTCAGACTCCGTATTAATTATTATCCATTTATATTTTTTTTACTGGGAAGAAATTATGTGTCGGGTAAAACCTATCAACAGCGCTTCCTGCAAATAACATTACAATACCTCTGAAAATGCAGAAATGCAGTGTGACGTGTAAAGGAAGCAATGTTTAGAAGCCAATCTTGTTACAAAATAGATATTTCAGACACAATAATAATAAAAATTATTGGTTTGGTACACTGCCTTTCACTTCGAGAGGATGTCTCAAAGTGCCTCAAGTATATACTGTACTGTAAAGCGGAGTGACTGTTTTGTAGGGGATGCTACAAAATTTAAAGGCCGCAAAATTTAAATTCGTTAGTTAATCCTAAGCATTGCAAGAGAGAATACATCTTGGCTACAGTGTCAACTAAAAATTGTCGTATTAGAAACTTTGCCAATACTGCACTACCAGTCATCATCACTCTCTCTCTCTCAGTCTCTAATATTTTCTCTTCCTATGACTTTTTATATTTCCATGTACAAAAATATGAAACACACCATCTTTCACTGTCAAAAAAAAGTTTTGCACGTGGACAAAGTTACGTATACAGGTGCAAAGTTACAACAGTATAAATATTTAAATTCTTCCTCCCGTAGGCGTCTGTGAAATCTTGCAAAATTGGATTCACAAAATGGTGAAAACAGTATGAGGTAATGGCCACAAAGTTTATAAGTCAAATGAGTCAATGAAATACGTCAAGGCAACAGTTACATCTTTAGCCAATAATTACATAATGTTGAATAATAAATAATAATAATCCTGCATTTGATATTGCGCCTTATCGTCTCATTGAGATGTCTCAAAGTTAAGTTAAGCTGGACAATTAATTCATTTATCTCATTCCCCATTAAAATATACAATTTATAAATTTCCACTGGATTTGAACAGCATCAAGGGATATATGATGCGTATTTATATTGAACTGAGGTGAGTTATACGTTAAAGCAAGTCTACTTACTGTTGGATGCGCCACAGAGGTAGAGGAAGTAATTCCTCCAATTTTAAACCAAGGAATTCAGGTCTGGATTCTTGAAGTTTCTTGAATCTCGCAAAGCTTTTATTTTTCTTAACTTGCTCCTGGAAATGGACCACAAACCATAAAACTAAAATGAAGGTGCAGATACCACTAGAAAGTATGAATGCTTAATTGCTTGTGAGAAGACTTTCTATAATATTTAGGATTTCAGCTAATTGCGTTGGGGGTACATTATTATTATGCATAGCAATGATACTGAAGGTTGAAAAGGACAAACCAACTATTCTTTGTCACATCACCCTAATTATGCAGCCCCATGTTCCAACAATTACATTTATGTAGACCTACTGTTAAAATCAATGTTACTTGTACAGCTAGTCCTTAATCAATGAAATCAGTCAATTTACCATGGTCACATCCTTCTTCTTAATTAAGACAGTGATATCTCTCTAGCTCAGGGTCTCAAAGAGATAAATAAGTACATAGGTTGTGAAATGTCAAAGAGGTGATTCCATAATTTTACTCCTTCGAACTGGAAGGAACAAGACGGTTTCCTCATAATGAAGAGGGTGAAAGAAAGCAACACGATGTTACAAAGAACTAACTTAGAATTTATTAAGGAAAGAGCAGGAGGCAGCATCTGACAGCAAACGACTAATGAGCACAAGAATGTTTTCAACATGCATATCTTTCACACTCGTACTCTATTCTGAAGGTTGTGCCACTTAAGCCAATTTTAATTAGATGAGAACTTAGACCTCAATGGACAATTGACCTTTCTTTTTAAACTATAATCCATTTCAACATTGTGTAAATTTACTGACATGCAACATGAAAGAATAAACTAAATTGTTCATAATGTTACTCGGATATCACAAACATAGTCTTATAGACTCATGCAGTTACTTTATTATTACCTGCAAGACCTTGACGGCATTCTCCATGTTGTCAGCGTAAGTGGAGTAAAGTTGCAGGTGAGGACAGAAGTATTCAAAGCCCATCCCAAACTTTCCTTTTTCCAGATAATATAGCAATGTCCTGTACAGTGACACAGAATGTAATGCGAGACAGTGAACATTGTCATGCCTCAAAGCCAAACAGGAGGAAGCTGAAACTGCTTATGATGTCCCTTAATGCCTGAATGGTACATTGAATAATAAAAATAATAATCCTTGCATTTGATATAACGCCTTATCACTTCGAGGAGTCTAAAAGCAATTCACAGAATATACTATTAAGTGAATTAACTGTATGTTTTGTGGGCGAAGCATAACAGCCAATTGCACACAGCAGCGTCCCACAAACAGTCGTGGATTGAGTGACCAAATCACACTATTATTTTTTTGAAAGCATTATCACCCCCAGAAAAGTGATTCCCAATTGACTAACAACCGGTTTCCTACTTATTGCTAGGAAAACTGATGCATATGGAATAAGGAAACTTGCCTAAGGTTTCGCCCCAATCAGGAATCAAACCCAGGTCCGCTCACTTATAAGACGATTGCTCTAACCAACATGTTACAGGACTCCACCATTTGGTGTGTAATCCAGATAAATACATTCCATAACCCATTTTCAGAGCTGTTGTTTTGAATTTAGATGTAGAAATTAATAGGCAACCTGCCCTCTCTCAGGAATGAGGATTTTGTATGATGAATTTAAAAATTAATTTCATTGCACTCTTCTAAACAGTTTTATTTCTGTGGCTGTGGATTAAAAAAAAATCTTGAAGGTAATTACAATTTGGGGCATAAACTTGGCATTAGGATAAAGGACTTTATCTATGAAGATTTACGTGAATGGGGATTTGCTCATTTGCCAATTTATGCCATGCGTCAATACTAGCTCAAAAGGAATATCCAAAAGTTTGGATGGGTTGAAATCTCAAGAGAAGACTGACTTAGGCAGCAGTTGTACGATAGTGGCAACATTAGATGTCTAGGAGTAGGTCATTAGGTTTTAGAAAGGAAGGATAATAGCACAGAGAGAGAAATCTGGTGGATGAAATCTAAAGGGCGCTCTGTGCTTCGGGTGTAGGAGAACTTATGTTCCTTGGAGACCTCCAAAAAGGTCTAATAGTCAGAGGACTAGATTCATGATCAGGTTCGGTTTCCAGCAACACATGCTGGAAGAAACATTGGCGTTCTTCTCATTTACATTTCTTACAATTGTGGGATTATTAGCAGGTCAGGAAAGGGATGTTGGGAGCTTGGCACTTCTCTGGCACTTGACTGTTCGGCTTTGGGTGTTGGGGAAAGAATTTTCCAGAGTAAATGAGACGTCCTCACAATATGAGAAGCACTTTACCAAATATAGCAATTATTATTAATTATTAGTCATTATTATCATCAGCAGCCAGAGAGGAAATTAAATCCCCTTTGAAAACCTACACCTTTCACACATTGGCAGTTTCCAGATATTTATATATCGAATCTTTCCTTCAGACAGTGCCAAAGACAGTAGTGTTTTCTCACCAGTTATGAACGAGAACAGAAAGGCCTATATTCATATAAGCATCCCTCAGTTAGCAAACCAAACTATTCAAATCTTTTTTCTGAACATTTTATAGAAAATAGAATTGTCTAAGAGACGACAAACACCTACATATAGAGGATATTTGCTCTGAAGATCTTGTGACAGAAGATGAGAGAAAGAGAGGTGAATCTCATTGATCTTCCTCCGGTTGGAGTTGGTACAAGGGAAGGAATAAACTTAACAAGAAAAAAGGAGAGAAGGAAGTGATATCTGATCACACAAGGAGGTAGATTTGCTGATGACATCAAAGGAGCTGAAGGTAGCCTTAAAGAGCACAAGCATTGAACCAACCAGTGGCTTTAGTGAATGAAACGAAACTGGTGATGGTGATACCCACTACACAAGATCACAAGATTGGTTTGGATGACGAAAGCCCTTCAGCCCATTTCATCTCATCCTTCCAGAATACCTACCCTACCCTCTTCCTCATCATAGCAACAAGTTATTATCACAAAACAATTTGCAATACAATTTACATTTACTGTATATTGCGCCTTGTATCCTGGCTTTGACCATCCTTCCTGGCAAATTGTTCCAGTTGTTAATTCACTTTCTGATGTTTGTCTTGAAATTTCCCTGTTGCAATTCTAAACCTTTGTCTTGTTCTTGTGTCGGTGCATCCGAAAGTTTCACCCACAATCTTTACAGACAATTCACTTTTGTGAAGCACTTTGAGACATCTCAATTGCAAGATAAGGTGCTATATCAAATGTAAGGATTATGATTATTACTATTAAAGTTGTTGGGATGTCAATCACATGAGAAGTTATCTTGAATAGATGCACCATTTCCAAATCTATGGTGGATTTAGATAGAAGACAATTTGAATGAGAAGATCAAGATTTTGAATCACAGGTACAAATCCTAGCATCAGCAAGTTTACCAATGGTTTGGTATCACTCAGTTTTGGATTTATTCAACCACACTGCCCCAGCCACAACATACAGTATAAAATATTTTTTAAAAAACCATCTTGATTTAATGTTTATCCATTAAAAAAGGCTGTATAAATGACCAGGACTCAGCCTTGGACTTGAATCCATATTCCTGCCCAAGGAGAAGAGCTAATTATTTGCTTTAAGATATCCATCAATGGCGCTACAATACTGATCATGAGGAGTTGCTGCTAACTATTCTGTCACTTCATATGGTGGTAAAATACCTAGCCTCCATTTGGCACTTTCCTACAACAGCATGGCTGACATTGGACACTCACTATTGGGTAAATCATATGATAAGGGCATGTTTTATCACACTGACAATGAAGTGGAGCTCCATTGCGCTGCCCTGTGCTTAATTATTCTTTTTAAGCCACCGCATTGCTCTTAACTAAATATTTGTCAGCGACAGAAACGAATATTAAATAGTGGGCATGTTTCTGAATCAATGCCCTACAAAAGGATGCATGGTGGTTTAGCGTTTCTAGGCAACCTATTTGAGACAGACAGAAATGGACGGACGCCCAGACACAATCAGAAGCTGTGCAATTGGAGTAACAGTGAAATGAGTCGGAGCAGCCTTTGAGGATTGATTTGGGAAGTAATTGGCAAGCAGAGAGCTTTCACAACAACACCAGACTCAGTTTTCTCGAGTTTTTAAATTACAGTCTCTCCCTCCTATCTAATTCCACTGGCTCCACACCACTGAGGTATCTATGTAGACATCAGACAGGTTCAAAACTACAAGTAAACTTCACGAACTAGTAAGACACACGTGACAATAATCTTCCTCCCTATACAAATAAATATTAGTCAATTGTGGATCCCTTCAAAAAAAAATAATTTGGCCACTCAATCCACGGCTGTTGGTGGGAAAACTGCTGTGCATAATTGGCTGCCGCGTTTCGCCCACAAAATGTACAGTCAATTCATTTTGCAATATATTCTGTGAAGCGCTTTGAGACGTCTCAACCCCATGAGAAGGCGCTGCATCAAATGCAGGGATCACTTTTATTATTATTTATAATCTGGAAAAGATAACTGGTACTTTCAGATAAAAAGTATTGTTTTATAAGAAAATTTCTGAGAATTGACACTGGTAACCAAAAAAACAGATAGAACAGAAATCTGCTGGAAAACGCACCTGTTTTGAGAGTGGATGGATTGCATGGTGCAAAATATGGCATCTCTTGTGTCTTGTTGAAGGGTTCCCTTGGCTTTTAAAATCTCTATAAAGTACTGTCAGAAAAAAAATCTTTGCGTCATCATTTTTTTCTGAATTATTTATATAAAAAAACCTACAACAACAACTTGCATTCATATAGCTCTTCACATGGGGCAGGAATGAATGCCACCTACCTAGTGAAACCAGTTAATACCATTTCAAAAGGGAATTGGACAGGTACTTGAAAAGGCAAAACATTTGCAAAACTATGGGGAAAGAGCGGGGGAGTGGGACTGATTAAAAACTGCCATCATCACGCCCACCCTGAAAAAACCCTCCCTTGATGCATCGCAGCTATCAAGCTACCGGCCCATCTCCAACCTCCCCTTTCTCTCCAAGGTCTTGGAAAGAGTTGTCGCCTCCCAACTGCGCTCTTTCCTCTCCACCCATTCTCTTTTCGAACCCCTTCAGTCAGGTTTCCGTGCTGCTCATAGCACAGAAACTGCCCTGGTCAAGGTCACCAATGATATCCTGACCATCTGTGACCAGGGCTCCCTCTGTCTCCTCGTCCTCCTCGACCTATCGGCAGCATTCGATACGGTCGACCACGCTATCCTACTCCACCGCTTGTCCTCCCACCTCAACCTTCAAGGCACTGTCCTTGAATGGTTTAGCTCTTACCTTTCCCACCGTCTTCACTTCGTCTCAACGAATGGCTTCTCCTCCACCCCCCGTACTGTCTCATGTGGTGTCCCTCAGGGCTCTGTCCTCGGTCCCCTCCTCTTCACCCTCTATATGCTCCCCCTTGGTGACATCATCCGCAAACATGGGGTTAACTTCCACATGTATGCGGATGACACCCAACTCTACCTTTCCTCCTCTACTCTCAACTCCACGACCACCGATGTCCTGACAGCCTGCCTGTCCGACATCGAGTCCTGGACGAGAGACAACTTTCTTCAGCTCAACGTGCGAAAAACCGAGGCCCTCCTGATTGGCTCACGTCAGCGCCTCCGCACCTCAGGCGCTGACACCATCAGCATCCAAGGCTGCACTCTCCACCTCTCAAAGCCAGTCAGGAACCTCGGCGTTTTGTTCGACCCTGAGCTGTCCTTTCTCCCTCACATCCGCACCACAACTGGCACCGCCTTCCATCACCTCCGGAACATCGCCAGACTACGGCATTACCTCACCCCTCACGCTGCTGAAACCCTGGTTCACGCCTTTGTCACCTCAAGGCTGGACTATGGGAACTCTCTCCTCGCCGGCCTTCCCGCCACCTCCCTCCACAAGCTGCAGGTCATTCAGAACTCTGCAGCTCGTGTACTGTCCCGCACCAGGCTTCGCGACCACATCACTCCCACCCTCGCTCGCCTCCACTGGCTCCCCATCCCCCAGAGGATTGATTTCAAGATCCTCATCCTCACCTACAAGGCCATTCACGGCCTTGCTCCCTCCTACCTCTCCAACCTACTATCCCCCTACCTACCTGCCCGTACCCTCCGTTCCTCTGGCTCCGGTCTGCTCCACGTCCCCCGCCCCAACCGCCCTACTATCGGTGGTCGGGCCTTCAGCCTCTCAGCCCCCAGGCTCTGGAACTCCATCCCCCAGTGCCTTCGCCGCTTCCTCCCTTTCCTCCTTCAAGGCCGGTCTCAAAACCTTTCTCTTTGACCGTGCCTTCAGCTCCCCTCTCGACTCTCTTCCTCCTCCTCGCTCCCTCCCTTCCCTCCCCTCACCCTGACCATTTCCCCCCTCCTCTCTCCCTCCCTTCCCTCCCCTCACCCTGACCATTTCCCCCCTCCTCTCTCCCTCCCTTCCCTCCCCTCACCCTGACCATTTCCCCCCTGCTCGGGTCATGACCCAACTGTGCAGCGCCTTGGGACGTCCTCCTGACGTGAAAGGCGCTCTATAAATGGAATCTTGTTGTTGTTGTTGTTGATTGGGTAGCTCTTCCAAAGAGCTGGCACAGGTACAATGAGCCGAATGGGTTATAATATTCTATGATTCTATGTCGTTAAAAACATTTTGTCCTGGCTCTCTCAAATTCTTACCACAACAATGAGCTCCAGTTGTTCGGAGTACCTCTGTTCAGTCTCTACCAGTTCTTTAGCAGCTCGAATCCTCTTTCTTTCCCACCGAGCCCTCTGCTCCTCTATGATGATGCTTCCCGATGAGTAATTCAGCCGAGCCATCGGGGTAGAGAGTTGATCATTAGTACTGGCTGCTGCTGTTTCTGCTTCTGGGAGACACGAGTAAAACAGTTACAGATAGACACATTAATCACCGCAAATTAATTGTATAAAAAAAACACAACAAAAGCAGGATTCGGAAGTTTGATTTTATTACATGAAACATTGCTTTGACCAGAAAATGTTTCAGAAAACCATTATTTATTGGGTTCTTAGGATTATTATAATCAAAAGATAACCGTTAGTAAGGGGTGACCGGTAGGGGGTCAAAGAGGAGGGTTTTGAGATGTGCCTTGAAGGAGACAAGGGAGGGAGCGAGGCCAAGGGGTTGTTGGATGGAGTTCCAAAGGGTGGGGGCAGAGAGGCTGAAGACCAGATGCCCGATGGGTGGGCGGGGGACATGGAGCAGGGGCAGTGGACAAAAAAAAATAAACTCCATATTTTATAACTTGGCAATAAACACATGAACAGAAAACGAGAAAATGCAGGAGGAATTTCTTCATATCTTAACCTTTTTTTTATTGTTGCTCCAAAACACAGTAAAAAATTCCGTGTAATAGTCTTTCCAATTTTGATGCATAGATAACAGAGAATGTTGACAGAAGCCATCTATATGTGATTTTTTTTAAGTATCTTTGATAAATATTGTTTCACAAAATGCCCTTCTACTTTATTACTTTCAACAAAAAGCCAGCTATTCAAATATGCTCTCTTTTGCTATGAAACATTTTAATACCCAAGAATTCATTCACACAGAGAGAGGGAGAGAGAGAGAGAAATCAAATAATCTCTCTTTGCTGAATATACGTGGCACTACAAGTGGTGAATCGAGACATACCAGTATGATACGATGGTTCTTACTTTGCTTCGTATTCTCTATCAGCCCCCAAAAATATTGGATTAAAAAAAAATCAGCAAAGGGTTTAATTATTTGTTATCCGGGTCTATCCAGGATTTAAGTAAGTTAGTATTCCACTCTAGACCTCTTCAACCTTGAAACTATATGTCTCAGAACCTGTCCTTATATAAGTCTACAAGATATTGAATGAGATAGACAGAAGCCCAGCAAATCGTCAAGTGGCAATGTTTCTGAAGCGAAATTTTGCGACAAAAGCCAGATTTTTTTTTAACCACGTAGAGTAATCAACAGCTGGAATACAATGGTAGCAACAGTGGTTGTGACCCAGATACTGAACTAACTTCAGAAACATCTGGATGTTATAATGGGTAGAAAGTAGTATTTGCATTCTGGAAGGATGACTTATGAGCTGAAGTAATTGGCTGCCACATTTCGCCCACAAAATACACAGTCGATTCACTCTACAGTATATTCTGTGAAGCACTTTGAGATGTCTCGAAGACGGGATAAGACGCTGTATCAAATGCAATGATTATAACTATTATTAGGTAATTTAAATATGGTGAATGTGCATATTGTTAATTTCCTTTCATTTCAACTAAATTGAATTTGTAAGCTTTCATTAACAATACGTAGGCAGAAGTAAGAAAAACACTCCTACAGAATGCAGTGAAATAAACAGCAAGCAGAGTGAAAAGAAATATGATGTGAAGTACAGTTAAAGCACCTGAATCTAAAGGAAGGTGTTACAGCCACTACCACCTTCGGGAGAAACAAAATAGAAATAGAAACACGCAGCAACACCTTGCATTACTGGCAATTAGATGTTAAACAGCCAAGAGACTCACAGAATTAAATTGTAAAAAAAGAAACCTGGAACATCAAAATAAACTTATTGTTCACCATTGAAACATTTAATTTATAGCATCCTTTGTATGATTCACAGCAGATAAGCATTGAGCTCACTTCAGAATTCTGATTTGGGTTAGAAAATATTTGAGCCTCTTTAAAGGATAGTTTTGATTAGATAACGTTTGAAAAAGGATAGAAGTGTTTTAGGGTTATCTGTTATAGATCCCATATTGAATGCTGACTGGCAATCTCATTGATGTATGTACAGCTCCGCACTGTACTGTCGGTATGTGACATCAGGCGTATGCCTTCATAATCATGATCTATCAGGATCTACATTCAGTGGAAGATTAGCATACTGGGGAGTGTCATATATTTTCACAAGGATTTGATTTCCTCTCAAGTTATTCCACGCTGAATGGACTGGGACTAGAGACTACGGGTCAGATATTCCCTTTATCTTTGTGACTACTGCTGGGTTTTCCTAATTTTTATTTGCGGTCTTCGATGACTCTATCCACTGATGCTAAGTCTTTCAAGCTTTGATTTGTTCTCAGCACTAGCATCCATCCTTTCCTTCGAGTATGCATGTTCATTTATGCATGTGCCTGTGTTTCTTAGTGTGGACCAATGTTTGCTGCAGTATCCTGTCAGTTTGCGCTAGTTGTTTTGCATTCAAGTGTTAAAATCAAAAAAAAACTACAACAAAAAAGAAAAATCTGTGGAAGTCAAAACTTCCCTTTATAAACACATTGCAATTCAGTGTCATGAAGTGTGATCTGAAAGCGAACCTATTGCAGTCTGGCTGCTGAGACTACCTTGAGAAAGAAACACATTGATTCCCACAACTGCAGTATAAATGGTCAGGCTAAAACTACACAGCTTGCCATTAATAGTCGTGTCTGGCCAGCTTTCCTGCTGCTAGTCCAGCTAGGACCACCCTACCCAATAGTTAGGGCTTTGTCTTGCAGGGTTAACAGGAGCTGAGTGGGAGGATTCCCTGCCCCCAGTGATTGGTCTGCCCTTCCAAGCCCAAGCAGTATAAATATAACCTCTGGTGAATCGACAGTCTCTTTAATAACATTTAAAAAATTAGACCTGACATTGAAGCACAGCGTCTCCTCAGCCTTGGCCCATGCAATTAAGAATGTGAAATATAGATTAGGCTCTCCACTCCCAATTGCTTTACTGCTGGAAAGGACATGCAATTGTGTTCCACTGCAAAACAATCATCAGTAGTAACACGGGTTGCAAACTAATTTTGTCCATCGCTCCTCAACTTACATACTAGAGGCAAGGCACAAAGACATACCAATTACAAAGCATCCAATTAATAAAAACAATTTAGAAAAATGGATACGTTACATACACATCCATTGTCACAAGTAAGATTTTTGACGATGGTACAGAATTAAGAGAAATAGAGAAAAAACACACAATTATTGTAAACTTCTTCAAATTCAGGTGGAAAATTCGGGCAAAGTCCATCCCTAATGCATCATCTATCCATATTGTGTATAAAGAGAATAACTAAAAGCTGAACTAAATAATAGAGTACACAGAGAGGACTATTAAGGAGAAGAAACAGGATTCATGCCACAGTCTGCTTCAAGGAAACTAATTCACCCAAACTAAATATATATATATATACACATATACTGAAAGAGTAAACCAAATTTAACATAAGAAATATAATCCTTGCCTTTCATACAGCATTTTATGCTGTTATAATGTCTCAAAACGCTTCATAGGATTTGCTGTAAAGTACAGTGAATGGGTTTTCCTGAGCAAACAAGACAACCATTTTGCCACGGCAATGCCACAAACAGCCACAAAGTTATTTATAAAGTAAACTGGCTGCGGACAATTCATTGATCAACTGCAGTCAAAGAACCTTTTTTCACTAAACCAACTGTTCATCGTTTGCATGAAAAAAATGCTTGTTAATTCCACAAAGAGGCTTATACAATAACGTTCTAGCCTACGTTTTCCAAAAGAAAAGTAGGGATACTTTCCTGAAATCCAAATGATTATAGATTTGTATCCGACATCTACTTTGACATAATTCCACACGTATTTAAAAGAACAGATCTTTAAAATAAACCCTAGTCCCATTGAGTTTTTTTTTAGCAATAAGTGCTTTTGAAATAACAATAGCTGACGAAAACATCTATGACCAGAAGTCCACATTTAGGTCACCAAGACTGTCAATTTCAATCTGCTATGTAATTAAATATATCACTAATATAGATTTTTGCAAAACTGTTACTGGTCACTGCAAACATCTAGGACAGTGACAAATCACACTTCACAGCCTTAAAGGTTGCAAGAAATTTACCTCAGTAACCACAGATCTAATAAATGAAGATAATATCGTAACAGTTTCTGGTACAGTTGATACCTTATGTCATTTTGCAATATGAAGCTGTCGAAAAAAGTATAGTGGAATAAATGCAGATGTTAAACTCAATGGGCTTCAGTTTTAGCCATAGCACGGTCACCAATATATCTAAATATTCTCATTTACTCACTGTTGTCAATTTTGACAACAAAAAAAATCCCCGACTGTGTGTGGGAGACTGCCGAGTGCAATTGGCTGTTGCATTTCGCCCACAAAATACACAGACAATCCACTTCACAGTAAATTCTGTGAAGAGCTTTGAGACGTCTCAACAACGTAGCAAGGTACTATATCAAAGGCAAGGATTATTATTCTTACTTTCAGTAACCTATTTTGTTTATAGCCCATGCTTGCCAAATGACTACATATTGCAAGTACAAAGACAATAACAATTAAAAAAAACAGACCTGGCTAACATTTGTTTGCCACTCAATTTCCTATCGTTTTCAATGGGAGTCCTGGAACTGGTATAAATACCGGTATAAGTCATATTCTTCACCTGTATCATTTCAATTTTTAAAGTGCTAGACAAAATCCCTACTGTTTACTAATATAAATACAAACTAAACTAAATATTATTGACCAATTTTGTAACTGTCAATATTACTCCTCATGTCCCGAGTTTATAAACTATTAAAACTAAATTACATGCCATTCCACTTGATCTATGGTATAAAGCTTTGCTTGGATAATGAGGCAACATTTAAGGATTGTAAATGATAGCAGCTAACATTTTTCTTTTTGAGGTTGTGAAATCCCCTTTTGGCCCTGTATATATCTCACCCAACCATTTTTTAAATATTTATCTTTTTCCCTTGTAATATCACATCTATGTTGTAATAGATAAGGGATTCAAACTCTGATCACCGATTCATCCAGTCCTCTATATTTACCATTACAGGATTATACATGTTATCCTGATGGGAGTCCAGCAGCAAAAAGACTCAGTTCTCAAGGGAAACCTGGGACTCTTATAATAATAATAATAATCCTTGCATTTGATATAGCACCTCGTCACGTCTTTGAGACGTCTCAAAGCGCTTCATATAATATACAGTAAAGTGAATTGACTATATTTTGTGGGCAAAATGCGGCAGCCAATTGCACACAGCAGTGTCCCACAAACAGTCGTGGATTGTGTGACCACAATTTTTTAAGGGATTATTACCCCCGGAAAAGCAACCCACCAATCGAAGAACAACCGAGTTCCTAGAGCAAAGAGCAGAGAAGTGTCAGGTTTTAGAAAAGTCTCTGGACTCTTGTAATGAGGAGTGAAGGGGCGAGGATCTTGGATGACAAAATGTTCTCCTAAAGATAGGTCCAAAACCCAGAACGCTCAAAAAGAGTGAAATGAAATAAATCCTTTATAATTGATTCAACTTGAACCATTGGTCCTAATAAAGGAACAAGTCCCATCTTTATAAAAGCGTGAAGGACATCTGTTATGCAATTCATGACAAGAATTTTGCTCTGGAATCCACTGCCACCCAATATGCTCATGAAAATGACTAGACTAAATATGTTTCCCAAGCATGTTCCACAGGAGTATCGAGATAATATAGCAGCTGGTGGTGACAAATTTTGGATTGAAGCTGCAATACATCTCGGTATGTCACACAGTGGCACTTTGACCGTTCCACTAATATGACTGAATATAATTGCTACCATCCTAGGTCTTACACAATAGAATCTCCACATCCCTGCTGGGTTGAACATTCACATTTTCATGCATGAAAATCCATACAGCTTCTAAGCCACCTGTAAACAGTAATAGTATATAGGCATAGATCACCTTTGAGAAAGAGGTTTTGCCAGCTGGTTTGCCAATTAAAAAATGAATAAAACAAAGCATCACTTCATACTGAAAAGACGTTGCATCTCTCTTTCAATGTTAGCAGCTCTGTTATATTGTTTTACCGTTGTGGGAATGAGAATTGCTCTTCCAATGTTGAGAATCTGCCCTTCACTCCTATCCTTTGGTTTCTGTTTACTCGCCATCTTTCAAACCGTTCTGCTATCCCTCCCTTGAATCAGCATGAGCCTCTTTTGAGGCACTATATTGAAGGCCTTTTAAAAATCTATTAAATATTTAAAGATTGTTAAATCTTCAAATATTGGGACTTGAAGCTTTGGGGTTTGAAACGAAAGGATGACAGCTGTCCATCAGTTGTTTGGAGGATTTAGAATCAGGAATGGCAGAAACTCAGATAACAATGAATCTTTAATCATGTTTAAAAATACTGCGCAGATTGCTGCTGCAATTACTCACATGAATTTCTAATTGGTAGACAGTCTGATTCATTTTTATCAGTTTATTAAGCTGCCAGGGGCTGCACAAGGCACGCAGTATTAGTAGCTGAAGTGCAGAGGTCACAAACTCTGGACACATGAATTCTCCCAGCACATTAACCTTAAAAGATTTTCACTTCATCTCAATTGTTATTTCTCCCCCACCTTCTTTATATTACATTCTACGTTTGCCCTCACATACATATCTTTTATTGATCTCATTCCTTTGACTCTACTTCTCCACCTCTACAATTTATTACCCTCTTTTTAAAAAATATGCCGTCTAAATTATTTGATTTTCTTCTTTTCCATTTTGATTTTAATTTCCATTCTACTGTTTCACAGTCTCACACGTTTGGATTTTTCCCACCCACAAAAGATTACCGATTTATAACAACCCACTTTTCACTAATAACTATTTTTTTTTACCTGAATTTCATTTTTAAAAAAGTATTGATCTTTTCAACATGGTGATGATGTGCATTTATCCTAAAATTCATCTCACTGCTCGCCTATTCCAAGAATATGAGATAAACAAGTAACACAATATACACGGAGGCGCGTAAGCTGACTCTGGGTACACAGGGACACTGTATATAACACTATAATAAAAATCTGTGCCTTTAATATAGCACTTTATCACATCTCTGAGACGTCTCAAAGCGCTTCACAGAATATACTGTAAAGTGAATTGACTGGAATGAGGAAAAGCTGGAGACAACCAGAGAAAGTGATTTGACGGTTAACAGTATTTTAAACAATCAAATTCAGCAAGCCTCTATCAAAGATTATGCACAACACGTCAAGTCTATTAAACTTGTTCTGGGCCAAATAATACTAGAGAGATGGTGGAACAAAGAAGTTCAAACACATTCTAGTTGTATTGTAAGAGGTATGCTTCCTCTCTTTCCTCGCCATTACTCCTGCAAAGACAATCTAAAACTGTGTTAAACTTTTTCAATTCTTAAACACAAGAGAGAGTACCACTGTTATATGTTATACTCTTGACTGCTGGTAGATCAAGGATCTTACAACCTTGAAGTCGGGTCGTTTTCAAGCCAAGCCACTGCTAATCACTTGCTTATTCATAGTGCACATTATACTGTAGTCTGAAGCAGTCAACATTCAGCAATCTTAATTATATTATAGCCTCCATAATATAGTGCATCAGTTCCACTCCAAGGCTCCGTCACCATAATTCTGGTTTCATAGGAGTTCCATCCACCACACTCCTTCCTTAGTGGTGTCATCTTTAATGTAACAGCAAGGCTGCAGTGTTGGTTGGCAAGAGTTTAACAGTAATTAACCCCTACTCTGTCCCCAAAGAGCAGTACATCAGCAACTTGCCAAAACACAGTAAACAAGAGGTCTCTGATCAATGGAGAAACAATTCTGGCTTCAGAGAGCCTTACATCTCAGTGATAATTGAAGTAATGTCTACATGTATGAATCTGTACACCTAACGAAGCAACACTGTACTCATTAAAGCCTTTTCAGAATTTTTAATTGAGACCAGGGGTAATAAAATAATGATGTACATGTTCTGCACACGTTGTGCTAATTTACTGTGATTTCTTGCCCCCAGACTTCGACAAATGTCACTGCAACCAACTGCTAGGAAGTGGGCAAAGGCCTGTATGAATCACAGCCCAATTTTCTCCTGTTGCCCATGAAAAACTGTCATGGCATTACACAGCTTGATTCAATGTGCATAGATGCAGTAGAACATGGTCATTTCATAACTAAGTTTCAGTTGATGATTGTGAGTTGTTTCTTTAAATGAAGTCGTAGAAATACGGAAGTTTAATTCTACGACTTATGCAGTTTGGCTTTAAATAGTAAATCATATTAAATGTTATGGTCCCAACTAATACAAATTATGTGAGTTTTACTGCAGAAACATAACGCAAGTCAAATGCCTTGAAAAATGACCTCTGGAAAACAAGCAAGTAACCTGCTCTAGTAACTAAGTTGGAAGATACAGAAATATTACTAATCATTCCACCTTCCTTTAAGAAACATCAAGTCCGTGATTGGTGCTATCTTTTATAGCACAATTAAGATTACACTCAGGAGGTGAGGAAATCCTAAGGGTGTGTGAACTCAAACATTCACTCATAAATTCCATGACATACACTTCAGAGAACAAGGTGAAACTCCCTAAAATCCGGTGTTTTCTCGGTTCAATTTCACAGCATTTACACTTGCTGTGGAGTGATAACATTTCCATATGCTGTTCTTACACAAGTATTCACAGGCCACAGACATCACAATGTTTTAACCCTGCTACCTGGCTGTTTCATATGCTTTTTTAAATCTTCACATGTAAAAAGCCACATTCACATTATGAAGTTTGGAGCCCCACAACATTAAGTTTGAACTTTGATAATTCTACAAAAACCTCAACAACAACAAATTACATTTACATAAGATCGTTCACATCAGGTGGATATCCCAAGGCAGTGAAAGGTTTCCACCTGAGCTAGGGGCTGGAATCAAGTGGGGTGGAGGGCGCGAGGGGGGTGGAGCGGGGGAGATGGGAAGATGACTGAAGGCATGGTTGAAGAGGAAGGTGCGGAGGTCCAGAAGGTGGGTTGATGGTGGAGCGGATAGTGTGGGGGACACGGAGCAGGCCAGTGCCCCGCTGGGCAGAGGGAGAGGATGGATTGGGAAATTTCAGTGGGTTGCAGAGGTGGGGAGGAGCAAGACTGTGGAGCGCTTTCAAAGTGAGGATGAGGATCTTAAATTCAATCCTCTGGGGGATGGGGGAGCCAGTGAATCCAGGGCTGGGGGTGAATCTGATGGCATTGCTGAGAACTCAGCTCAAGTGATTCATTTACGCATTTGGTTATCATTAAATCACAACTTACGCAAATGTCTTCTCGTTGGAGTTCGGTTACGTGAGGTGTCCATGGTTGCCTGTATTTTCTGTCAAAACCTCTGGAAAAAAAGGAAAAGCAAAATTTTTAGACACTTTGGGGGCAAAGACGCAAACTTATATGTGATAGCATTCTTATCGCTGGGTCAGAAGAGTGTTTCTCTTTAAGCGCTCCAAGACACCGTCCAGGATGAAGGGTACTGTATAAATGCAAGTTATTGTTGTTGGAGAAAACAATTTGTGGGTTTAACTTTCATGTCTGGACTTTCAGCTCATATAATAATAAATAATAATAATCCTTGCATTTGATATAGCGCCTTATCACGTCTTCTAGACGTCTCAAACTGCTTCACAGAATATGCTGTAAAGTGAATTGACCGTATATTTGTGGGCGAAACACGGCAGCCAATTGCGCACAGCTGCGTCCCACTAACAGTCGTGGATTGAAAAATGACCAATTTATTCTTGTTTTTTTGCTTTGGAGGGAATATTATCAGGCGTGTGGAGTGAGGAAACTTGCCCAAGGTTTTGCCCTGCCGGGAATCGAACCCAGGTCTCTCGCTTGCCAGGTGAGCGCTCTAACCCCTGAGCTACAGGACGCACATTGCAGTTGTTTTTTTTTAAAAAGTACAATGAGGAAATCACCAAGTTTCATCACAGGATTGTTTCACTTCCTTGCATTTGCTATCGAGCCTTATCCCAAAGCTGATGTAACATTACAGACAGACAGTATCTCAGACATCTAACGTGTGAACACACAGTAAACTCAGACACAGTAACACTGTAGACACAGTAACTCACACACTGTGACACTGTAGACACAGCAACTCACACACTGCAACACCGTAGACACAGTAACTCACACACTGCAACACCGTAGACACAGTAACTCACACACTGCAACACCGTAGACACAGCAACTCACACACTGCAACACCGTAGACACAGTAACTCACACACTGCGACACCGTAGACACAGTAACTCACACACTGCGACACCGTAGACACAGTAACTCACACACTGCGACACTGTAGACACAGTAACTCACACACAATGCAGAATGGCAGCAGATACAGGAACACTGATCCTCTCCCCCCGCCTTTTTCTTAAATTTCACTCTTCCTGTTACAGGCAAAATGGCAATTGGTTCTTTCAAAAGTACCCAGAGTGCAAACTGCAGCTGACACTCCCTCTGGGCTGGCCAACTGCAGCCGCCTTCTTGTCCACACCTTACTTTTTGCATTTGACTGTATCTCTGGGCCAATAATAGCAGTGGAAATGGAAGGAGATGAAACTCTAGGTTAATTCAACCAGACCTGCTGAACCGTACTCATTTCCACCCCTCCCTTTTATATCTGCAAAATAAAGAACTCCTTCGGTTGTATCTTTCTCTGCGTAAACTCATATGTGCTGTACATGGTTAAGTGGATTTGCAGACTGTCTCACTCTTTGGGATCATAAATCTTACTCCCAGCAAGGGAACAACCTTGATGTCTTCGATAAGGGCAAGAACATTAGTTATTTTGCGTTGCTGCCATGGAAACTGAGGACGGCAAATATTTATTTGTATATTAAGTGCTCTTGTTCGGCAAAATAAACTGATGTCTTCAAATGAACAATCTTAAACTGATGTCTGTTTAAACCGTCGTTGGTGTTAGAAGCTGCCGCAATTTTCAACCTAACCTCCGCAAGTAATATTGTTCCCGGAGAACGAGCATTAAAAAAGGGAAGAGGCTCGGTGTGTTCCAAAGCCATGGTACAATTTTGAAAATCGTATCAAAAGGCATCATTTTTATCCAACAGCGTCGTGAAGAAAATGAGACAAGACTCTTATCAGAATCTGCAAAAAAGTAACCAGAAAAAAATCCCAAACTTTTTCTTTAAACTTCTAAAATGACAGGTTTTCGGTTACACAATTGAGGTGATCAGAGCCCTTGTCGTGATCCAGCTCTAATTTTAAGACGATAAGGATAATAATAATAATCCTTGCATTTGATTGAGTGCTTTATCACGTCTTCGAGCGCTTCACAGAATATACTGTAAAGCGAATTGACTGTGTATTTTGTGGGTGAAACGCGGCAGTCAATTGCCCTCAGCAGTGTTCCACAAACAGTCGTGGATTGAGTGACCAAATTATTATTTTTAAAAATTTTTTAAGGGATTATTTCCCCCCAAAAAGCGATTCTCCAATTGACTAACAACCGGCTTCCTACTTACTGCTAGGTAAACAGAGTTGTGTGGAGTAAGGAAACTTGCCTAATGTTTCGCACTGCCCGCTCATCGAACCCAGGTCCTCTCGCTTGCGAGGCGAGTGCTCTAACCAATACGCTATTCCACGCTCCATATGTTATAAGCACATACTTCATCCAAACCAATAGGAAATGCCAAAAGAATGATTGAAAATTATTTGAAACATACTCTTCTATCCCAGTTTGTTCCTATGCATACTCATTGAAATGACTGGACAGTGCACAAAAGTGAACAAACTGAAGAGGCAGATCAGACAATTGTATTCATAATAATTCTGAGTACTACAAACGGTCGCTAAAATTCACCTCATCTTTGATGTGCAGTTGTTTTACTTTCCAAGTAAAAAGGACTTCCTTCAAGTTCCGGTTTCTATTGAAATTCAAGTGAGGATGAAACATAACACATTGGCGAGTGCATTCTCTCCATTCAAAGTACTTACAATTAGTTATATTCCTTTAATATTTATAATGACAAAATGACAAGGCTCAATACATCCTAAAACATACAGTAAAGGTTAAATAAGTCTAAGAATAGGAAATAGTTCCCAATATTAGGCCATCATTAAATAATAATGATTTGTGAACGACATACCTCAGTTGGATTGTCCAATCATAGGGCTTTTGAAACAAATGCCACCCATTTGGTGAATAAATAGCGATGGTGATTAACAATTATAATTCTAAAACACAACGGTTACTAACAATTATAATTAGCAAGAACATTCTTTTGTTATTTGCATGTTTGGTGGATTGATATAGGTTTTGTTTAACTGAGGAATACTGATGAGACCATCAGGATTTAGTGGGTTGAATGGGTGACTGACTGTTGGTGGGAGCTGAATTAGCATTAATAGAGATACAGTCATTAACCCAGTATTGCTTGAGCATCTACTCTGTATATTAATGAATCTCCCTCACAGCTTCAGGCTTAGTAACCCTTCCAATCCATTAGCTCTGCTGGTGTCAAACCCACTAATATTCAGCCAAAGTCAACAAAACTAAACAAAAGATTGTTACAAATAATTATAAATCTTTGCAAATGATCGGTTCTCAACAGGGGTATGATGGTGAGACTGACACTATTTAATGTGTTTTTCTAATTAATTCCAAACAGTTGGATCAACTGTTTTATGATTTTCAAACTGTTTTTTTTTAAATCTTTTAAAGCACATACAAGGGCTAAAGGTTTATATTTGCATGTAATTTGTGCAAGCTTCAAGAATAGAACAATTTTTGACTTTGTTTTATCTTATAATCCTGATGTTCAGGAACTCTTAACTCACAAAAATATCACAATGAAGTAATTATAATCAGTCACCCTCAGAAAATCACCAAACCAAAATGTGAGGTAAAAGTTCAAAGAGAGGTAGAGTGGTTTATTAAACACTTGTCTAATAAACCATTTGATGCTGCAATTAATAACAACAACTTGCATTGATACAGTGCCTTTTTGTGTAACTTAGTGTCTCAGAGTATTTCACAAAGATAGAAATTAATGCCTTACAAGGAAGGAAGGGGAGGTTGGAGGCGGGATGTAACCATTGGGGCAATCAAAGAGAATTAAAGACACAGATAGAGAGGGCGTGAGGAAAAGGGGGAAGAGGGATGGAGTTCCAGACATATAGTTGCTGAAGGCGTAGACACTAATAGGGAGGTGCTGAAGCATGAAAGAATTTGTGGGTGAGGGCAAGAACCTTGAAGACAGCCTCGTGGAGCCTGGGAAGTATTAGGATGAGGATCATACTAATTGCAAAGGTAGGAGTGAGTGGCAAAGTTTTGTATCAGTTGGGGCTTACGGGTGGTGGAACTATGGAGGCCAGCCGTGCTTTGAATATATTGTAGGGTGTTTATTATTGAAGAATCAGATGAACGGGCAGAAAGATTTTCTTCAACCATACCTCTCGTTGTCTTCTACTCTTGTGCTTTCTTATGTGGTTCAGTGTTAGACAATAACACGCAGACAAGAGAGTATCAATTGTCATTTTAGAGCAGAATGATTTTTACTAATCATTAAGAGAGTTGTTATGGTCTGGAATGCACTGCCTGAAAGGCTGGTGGAAGCAGATTCGATAGTAACTTTCAAAAGGGAATTGGATAGGTACTTAAAATGGGGAAAAAAAATTGCAGGGCTAAGGGGTAAGAACGGGAATGTGAGACTCTTTGGAAGTTCTTTCGAAGATCCAGCACAGGCGCAATGGGCCAAATGGTCTCCTTCTGTGCTGTAAGATTCTATGATTTTATTCTACAACGGAAGACTGTTTAATTAATTTAAAGTGAAAATCACCCAATAAATAAACAAATATAAATAAATAAATATGTTTGATAAATAGAAAAAAAAGCATTGGGAGCAAGTTTGTCAGATATGACTTTGTTTGCACAAATAAAAATGTATTTTGATATTTATTTAAATTCTATTTTAAAAGAATATTTTTTCCATATGAAGATATTTTCTTTCAATTATGTTATACCCGTAATGATTTATTTATGTAAAAATAAGTTCAAATGCATGGAATCTTAATGTAACACAAAATATATCACTGATTTAACTTAGATTTAATCAATTTCCCCAGATCTTATATTTGAGATCTAGACATATAAGATCTGGGGAAATTGAACATTTTCAGTATTATCTGATAAATATAAACATCAAGAAATAAATACATACATATATAAAATGAAATACATTTACAAAAATTAAGAAAATGCTCAAAGCAAAAATATATTAAAAACAGCTGTTGCTTTTTTTTTGCTAAGGAGTCTTAGCCTCCGATTTAATTCTCTCTTCAATAGTTGTTAAGATTGAGAATTTGTAACATGAGGAAATCAAAGTCCAAAAGCTTTAGCCTACCAATTCTGCAGTATGATAATAACTTATACAGTATATATAGATATATATCAGTCTGGTGGTTGATGATAATGTGGTAGGTATACTTTTTGACTTTCAAAATGCTTTCGAAGGATATTTTTCTAAAGGAAAAGCTCATGAGATCTGAAAGAAAAGAGTCAATTGGACAATCAATTGGTTAAGTAATAGGAAGCAGAGAGCAGTCATCAATAGTAGCTCTAATTAGATAACTGTTACCAGCAGAGTCCCCAAGGGTCAAATACTGGCATCCTACTGTTCATAATAATAATTCTGCTGGTGAAGATAATATCAATAAAAAGGTTCAAATAAATGTATTGCACTAATGTATGTGACAAAGCAAGACATTCAGAAGGGAGTGGAGAGCTTTTTTATATTAAAAAAAATCGATAGCAAATATTACAAGATAGAAAAATTTAACAATACATTAAATTACAATTTACATTTTTATAGCACCTTTCATATTGGGAGGATGTTTCAAAGTGCTTGAAACTGGTGGCTGGGAACTCGAGACATGGGGTGGGAGCTGAAGAGGGTGAAAGGGAATTGAACTGAAAGTGCAGTCAAAGAGATAGATCTTGAGAAGAGAATAATACATTAAAAACAATAACTTGCTATTAACGTGGAATAGACAAAATATTTAGGTAATTTGACCAAAAGTTGAAAATATCATCAAATTGGAAATAATAATTCATGAGCCAATATAGCATTAAACCAATTGACTGTAAATGTAAGGAAGCAATACTAGCAAAGCATTAGTGAGATAATGTACAAAGTAGTTTGTCCAGTAGCTTTGACCATTCTCCCTAAGGTACTTACACAGCAACACAAAAGCTTTCTGTATGCTGATATTGAGACTTATATCATGCATGTTGGAACATAAAGATCAACAAATGCCTTAACATCTGAGGGAGAAATTACAAAGAATTATGTTACTCATTAATAAACAGAACTCATTAAAACGATTTTCTATCTTTTGTTTCTTAACAACC